GAATAGGAAAGGCATGGCTGGTCCCAGCTCTCTCCCACAACCCATGAGGGCTGCTGGTTTGCTTGTGCCCCACCACCAGCTCAGAAAGTGTCATCCTCCAGGCACACTTCCAATGCAATTAATCATGTTAATATCTATAAATAAAGTGCAGTCAACAGTTACTTTAACAGTGCATGCTAATTATTGGTAGAATCCGTCACTGGAAAAGGACATTTTTGCCAATTTTGTCATGTTTGGGGAAAGTATGGGGAATACATTTTCTCTTTTTGAGAAAGTAGGAAGATCAGATCATTAACAGCTTCCACATTACAGGTGGACCAGGTTTGAACCATCAATGTGATTATTACAGGTGAGGGTAGAGGACATTTGAGAGAAACATTGCAACTAGGATTGTATAAACAAATGATTTCTTGCTACTGTTCTTTACAAGGTTTTGTTTTTGAAAGAGTCTCTGTAAAAATAGGATTTCTCGGTGAGCTGATAATGCTGACAATGGTGATAATGGTGGCAGGGAGTAGGTGGGGACTGGGGAGGAAGGAATGGAGCTCACTGGACAGCTGATAAAAGGCTCCACAGAGAGAGCCTTTTATACTCTCAGTATAATATGTATTAAGGACCACCTCTCCTTCATTTATGCATCACTTCATTAGTGCAAGAAACATTGACTGAGCCATCCCTACATGGCCACCACTGAGAGAGGTGGATAAATGGGCCTTCCCCTTAAGGAGTTCACAGACTGATGTAGGGGAAGACAGATTTCCTCAGTCCTCCTATGATTCCTCTATAGGTCTGAAATAAAAACTGACAGATACATATTAACAGGAGAAAAGATAAATTTATTTAATCGAAGTTTCATATGACACATGAGCCTTCAGAAATGAAGATCCAAAGACTCAGGGAAAACTTTATTTGTAAGCTTATGTTCAATGAAGAATGGAAAACATGTAAAAATGTGATTGAACAAAAGGGTCTGACCTAGTGGTGACACACTGAAGGGGGAATCTCAACAAGGCCGGTTTATTCAGATCTTCTTGGTTTCTCTGTCTTGGTGTTTCTTCCTCCTGGAAATAGGGCAGGACCACTTCTGCACTGAGGGCCTTATGGCCTCCTATCAGACAAAAAGGCACCACTTTATCTCTTTTGTTCATCTTATTAGCTTTAACTCCTTGTTGTGTTATTTTAGTTATTTCCTTTGAGTATTTGTCTTTAACTGACATAGATTAACTTAAAGTGGTATTATGCCATTTGTACTATATATAATACAAGAACCTTGCAACAATTCTGGTCTCCTGTTTTCCAATAAATAACCCCAATAAAATGAAAATTTCTCTTTCTCAATATTGATTTTTTTCAATCCCAGGAATGACTCTGAATGATCCTTCTTGGGGTATACACCCATCCTTCATCCCAGCAAAGCACAGGGGCGTAAGTATTTTAGTTAGCCTGGATTCTTGTAACAGCCCTTCATATCTTCATGGAGTTTGTAAGGAATTCACCAGAAGAGTCCAAGAAGAGGAGTACAAAAGTGTACTAATTAGCTAAAAACTACAGCTATCTTGGCCACTCCAGGCAAACAGATCAAGAAAACATTCACAGGTTGGTAGGTAGTGAATTCACATATGCTTGCCATAAATTCCCAATGCATCTTGCTAACAATTCTGAACTTGGCCATACAAAGCTGGAGCAAATGAAGCATTTCTTTGTGTGGCATTTTTCTTTCCCCTTGTGTTCTCCAGGGTACTCAGCTGACACTGAAACTTCTGCATATCTGATTCCTGTCAAGCAGAAAAAGAAGCCACATACTCCACCACCCCCTTTACATTTGACTTTTATGAGCATTTCAGAAAAACTTTTACTAAGAATCTAAGCACGTCCATATACATCGGAATTTGGCACCATTGACATTATGGACTAGATAACGGGCTTCCCTCTGCCTTGTAGGATGTTTAAAGTATCCCTGGGCTCTACCTGTTAGATGTCATCACCCTACACAGTTGTGATGATTAAAAATTTCTCCAGTAATGTCAAATGTCCTCTAAGAGAGCAAAATTTCTATTAACTGAGAACCACTTGATTCGGAATGTTTATAAAACACTGAAATCTACAGGTTTCTTAACCCCAATCAGATAAACTATTTGGGAAAAACAGTTACCATTAGGTGCCAGTTAACTCCTGTTCCACTGCCCCACAAACCCATGTCTGTTCAAGGGATAGTGACTGTTTTACACTACTGCAGATTCAGCTCCAGGCCTCTGAAAAGAGCAGGCTCAACCCATGCTTATAACCATGGCGCATGTTAAAAGAATAAGTGAAGGGATGGATGGATGGATGGATGGATGGATGGATGGATGGACAGACAGATGGATTGGTGGGTGGATGCACACATGAAAAGAACAAAACTTGGAAGACTCTTTACTGTATTACTTTGGGGAAAGGAATGACATTGTGGGCATATGCATGAGAAAAGGGAATATTTTACTGCTTAACTTGAAATTTTTTCTATATTTGAATTTTATTTTTATAATTTAGAAAATTTTAGAAGAGTTCTTTTTAAAGCACTTAGAGATCAAACCAAACATTTTCTCTTTGATAACAGTTTCTTTAACTTATATTTAAAAGAAAAAAAAGTAGAAATGTGTGCTGTAGCCCCAGTTCACATTCTGAATATAGTACTGAGTATAAAGTTTTATTATTTTTAACTCATAAGCAAATAGCCATATAATGTCAATCTTTGTGAATGGGGTCTATGCTGGGAAAGGGATCCAATGTACCTGGTACAGAAGAGATCTGACATAACATATTTTATTATGTGCATCAGCCTTGAGGGCAGGGACTGGACTGAGAATATTTTCATATCCCAGACCTTTATTTTTATTAAAGTATTTATTTTAATTATATATATATATAKATATATATATATATATATATATATATATATATATATAACAGAAGAATGCATTTTGATTCATTGTACACAGTTGCAGTACAAATTTACATTTCTCTGGTTGTACATGAAGTAGCATCACACCATAAGTGCAGTCATACATGTACCTAGGGTAATGGTGTCCATCTTATTCACCATCTTCCCTACCCCCATGCACCCTCCCTTCTCTCCCTACCCATTGCCCAATCAAAGTTTCTCCAAACCTTACAATGTGGGTGTATGTACAGGAAATATGTCAAAAGAATTGATTATGAAATTTTACAAGCATGATTTTGGTTGCTCTTGTAATTACTTTATCAAACCAAGGTTTTCTGGGCAGGATGAGGTGAGAGGAGAGATCGACGTGCAGTGGAAAGCCTTCCAAGGGAAGAGTGAAAGTCAAAGGGCAAAGGAATGGGGCAGGGAATAAGGACAAAAAAAGGATGATTTGTGAGGACAGCTGTTGCTTCTCTTTCCCATCTGCTACCAGCAGAAAGCTGGGTCAGGCTTATCCTCTTCAGATCCTGCTCCCAGGCAGCAGGGAACCCAGTATCACAAGCAGCCATAGCTTGTTGTGTGCGAACCATCACTCTTAGAGAACCCATTCCCCACAACCTCTCCCCAAAGGGAAATGCCCTGCTGCCTGGTCTCTTGAGGTCACAGCTCCAGGAGCCAGGGGAAACTGGTTTGCAAGGTGAGGTGCTTGCATTACATGGGGCAATTGATGCAGGGAGATGCAGAGCAATCCATCTGCCTTAGTGACTAAATAGATCCCTTTGCTTTGCCTCATCCTCCTGTGGAAGCAGTCAAGGYGGGAGGTTGGGTGAGGTGACCTTCCAGAGCTGAATCTGTGCTTCTAAAAATAGAAGCCTCCTTGGAGAATCTCGAAAGGGAAGGGAGACTGTGGATGTTGAGGGCAAGAACCTGACTCCCCAGAGCATTGTCAGTATGAAATTGTATTAATTAGACACAGACACCCAGCTTCATAACCTCAGGTATCTCTCAGAAATTGAAACTAGATGAACTGGCTTTTTTTTCTATTCTCTCTCTCTCTCTCTCTCTCTCTCTCTCTCTCTCTCTCTCTCTCCTCAAAAAGGAGAAAGAGGCTCATGTCTTCTGACCTATTTGAATGGCTGCACATCACACAAAAAGATGTCTTCCCTAGCAGAGGGAATGGGGGCTCCTTATAGAAGCACCAGAGAAGGGAACAGCTGTGGCAAAGGGGGACCTTGGAGACAGGCAGCAGGGCACCCAGGGGTCTGGGGATCTGCTCTTCTCTTTCTTCATGGAGACTACAGGATGAAGCAAGTGTCCAGGTGTGTCCAGGGCCATGATGTGTGGGGTCATGGGCCACCACTCTCACACTTATGCAGTGCTCTTGTCCAGAGCTACGTGAGGAGCTAGAAGATTTCTGGATATGGAGTCCTGCACAGGTCACATGTGACTAGGTTGTGTGCAGTGTTCTGAGAGTGGGGACTCACAGGAAGATTGTGGTTGGGCAGAGTATATGGGGATACTGTGGCTAACTTGAGAGCACTGTGTAGGGGACCTTGTGGGCTGGGTGCAGACCTCTTTGAAACCCTTTGCAGTGCATTGTGAGACTGTGCACACAGAGCCTGGACTGGGGTGGCTATGCACCACTGTGGGGCATCTCTGTGTAGCTTTGTGTGGGGAGCTCTATGTGGACTGTGGTAGGGATGTGAGTAGAGTCACATGGGGGAGCACCATGGAAGATTGTTAAGGCTGTGGAGTTCTGCACTGGAGGTTGTGTTCTGGGCTACAGGGATCCGTGGAGGCTGTGCAGGGCTGTGTGTGGCTAGATAAATGGTGGTAGAAGTCCTGGACGGCCTCTGCAGCTTTGCCATCTAAAGATGTGCTGYGCTTCCTTAGGAAGAGAAGCTCCTAGAGTGCAAGGGTATATTCTTCTCTATGTGACTGACAGGAGAGGAAGAGACACCAGTGACTCTTCATGACTGAGCAAAAGGAGCAGCATGGTCCCTTCCAGTGCCCTGGCACTGAGCCTCATGCACACCTGGACGAAGACATTTTCTAATGCTTCACTCTGCTTTCTCAACAGGACAATGTGGATCTTGGAGAGCTGATGTTTTCCCTCTGTTATCTTCCCACGGCTGGCAGGCTGACCATTACCATTATAAAAGCAAGAAATTTAAAGGCAATGGACATAACAGGAGCATCAGGTGGGACATCATCAATTCAGTCTGTCTGGTTCTAATGTAGTGTCTTATATAGTTTCTAATATAGTAATAAAGCACATTGACTCTGGAACCAAACTGCATAGATTGAATCAGAGAGCCACCACCTTAAGAGCTGTATGACTTTGGGCAAGTCATGTAACCTCTCTAGGGTTCAGATTCCCATCTGTAAAATAGAGTAATAATAGTATCTGGCTCATTGAGTTGTGAGATTAAATGAGTTAATACATAAAAATTCATAAAACAGTATTTGGTTTATAGTAAATGCTACATAATTTTAGTTGTCAGTAATATTATTTTTCTCTCAGGTCTTCTCTRTCACCATGTAAACTGGATCTGTGGTTTGTCCGTCCTGGTCGAGCTTATCTAATTGGTCTTTTTCCTCAGATATCACCATCCCAGGCTTATTGAAGATTGCAGATAATTCCATTTCCTTATAAAAGTGAACATAACAGTTTGGGTTTTCCAATGAATAAAGGGCACAATGGCTCACGATCACTGAAATCAAAGAACACAAGATACAATATATTTTGTGTCCTATACAAGCCTTGGCCTCTCTGCCCTTTAAGTCCCTCCTGGGATGGGTCAGGGGTCAGGAAAGCACATGGCTACGCAAGTAAAGAAAGATGGAGAACCTGCCATTGAGCAGGAGTACAGTGTGAGGCACGGGTGAGACCAGCTGTGTGATGCAGGGGTCAGCTCATCACCGGCCCCCATCAGCGGTGCACCACAGGAAGCCCGTGTTCCTTTCTCCCTGGAGGATGGACTGCTTCTCCCCTTGAAATCTGATGACAGGAGGCGCCCTGTACCCCAGGAGATCCACCCCCAGGTGCTCTTTCTCCATGTGTAGGGATTCAGAAATTTTAGGAATCCAGGAATTCCCTTTCTCAAAGCGCTGATCTTTAGGAAAAGATTCCCTGAGGTGGCTCAAAGTTGGAGGTCTGAGGCCTGTTTCCCACTCCTTGGAAGTGTCTGTATTTCTCTTTCTATCACAGACAGGCTGGTCTTAAATTCTAGCTGGAATGTTTTCTAATTTGGTAACAGATGTTTCACACTATTTTTAAATTTCACACATTTTGAGGAGACAGTGTCCTGTGCTTTTTTCTTGAATGAATGACTTAATTATCCTAACTAGTCACTGCCCAGATAGCACGTTAATTAAAATCCTCAAAACTCCAGTCCAGAGGCAGGTAAAGGAGTTCTGTGTACCATTGTCCATGCAAACCCACCATCTACGTTAACCCTCACATTTCCCCTGCTTCTCACGGTCTATACAGATCCCTATGTGAAAGTGTCACTGATGTGTGATGGCAGGAGACTGAAGAAGAGGAAAACATCCACCAAGAGGAACACGCTGAATCCTGTTTACAACGAAGCCATAGTCTTTGATGTCCCTCCTGAGAACATTGACCAAATCCATTTGTCCATAGCAGTCATGGATTATGACCGGTGAGAGCCCTGTCTCAGTGCAAGTCTGWCGTGCCCTGGGCAGCGAGAACAGAAAGGAATGGCCATGGATTCTTAGCTAGTATCCCAGGCTGCAGGAAATGCCTGAACAAGTAGCACGTAGAAGGAAGACTGACAAGGAATCACCAGTTTCCAAACCATTCTGTAGAGTCAGATTACCACTGTGCCTCAGTTCTTCCATTCTTTCCTCCCACTTTCTTACATCTTTCTCTTCCTCCATTCTCCCCACACCYCCATCTCTTCCCTTTTTCATGTTTGCACACCTCCMGGAATCTGGGCTTAAAGAAGTGCCCCACAAGTCATATCTTCTGTTGGGCAATCCTGATTACCTTTAGGGAAAAGATTAACTCAAAACAGTAGAATGATTACTGTAGCCAGACCATCAACATTTCTAAATACATAACTTCAATCTTTTTTTTTGTTCTTGCAGCCTGTTTAATAAAGATCATTTCCATCCACTTAAGTCTGAAAGCAAACACAGAAATGTTCTCTTGAAAATGCTTGAATCAGTATGGATGACAGGGTAYATTAAAATGCATAAGATGCTAGACTTTTTAATTAATACAGCACAGAAGAGATATTTATAGCCTGCATTGTAGCCAATTGTGTATTTAAAGGACAGATTTGAAAAACAGTCATTTTAATATGCAAAGGAAGTACCAACAGGGAATTATACATGTTAAACCAGTCATTAGACTGAAATGCAAAGTCTCTTTTTAATTAGAAACCTCCCACGTGGTCTGGGAACAAGTATAAAAGAAAAAAAATCATTCTGACTTCTAATATAATCTTACAAATATTATTTGTAGCCCAAAATTTTCCCACCTACCTCTGAAATGTCAGCAAGGCAGCACCAGTGACCTGAACGCGGTCTTCAGCAGATGCTTGTATGACGCATGATCGTCTTCCAATCCRCATGCCTGTGGCTGTGACAGACCTTATCCCATCTCCTATGGGCAACACACAACACCATTAGTGTCAGACCCCAGGAGAGGGTGTTGACTACCAACTGTGGAAGCCTAGACCAACACTTTTTAAGCTATTGTCAAATTTCTTACATCGACAAATTTGATTATGTGATCTCTGCCTCAATTTAATTATCAGTAAACTCATTAATCTGGACCGGAAAAATCCATGACAGAATCCATGGAGTTTCTACATGCATCTGATTTTAATGATTATAGACTTGAGTATCCTTTAAACTATCTCCCTTCCCTTCTATTCTCTTCACCACCCACACACAAATAGGAGAAAATTACTCCTCTTTGCAGGAAGGAAAAAGGAAGGGAGTACTGGGGACTGAACTAAGGGTTACTCGAATACTGAGCCACATCCCCAGACCTATTTTGTATTTTATTTAGAGACAGGATCCCACTGAGTTGCATAATGCCTCACGTTTGCTGAGGCTGGCTTTGAACTCGCCATCCTCCTGCTTCAGCCTCCCAATCCACTGGGATTACAAATATGAGCCACTGTACCTGACACAAAGGATTTTTTATTAAAAAAAAAAATTACTAAGGAAAAAACAAATTGGCCCAAGACAGAGACCCACCCAGGGAGTTTCAGAAATACAATCCCTGAGGTTAAAAGAGTTATTTGTACAGTTGAGACATCAAGTTGGGTCAAAGAACCAAAAATTGGATTTAGGGGCTGGGGATGTGGCTCAAGCGGTAGCGCGCTCGCCTGGCATGCGTGTGGCCCRGGTTTGATCCTCAGCACCACATACCAACAAAGATGTTGTGTCCGCCGAGAACTAAAAAATAAATATTAAAAAAAAAATTGGATTTAGCGGGTAAGAGAGAACAGCATAAGATGATATCCATGTTCTCTTAACAAAATGGGGAGCAAGAAGACCCAGGTTCCTCCTCCACTCTGCTCCATTTGTGGGCCAGACCAGTGGCTGTGACCCAGAGCTGCTCCCTCACCCATCCTGAGTAGCCTCTTGTGGTGATTTGAATGGCCATTATTGTAAAACAAAAAATAGAAAATAAATAAACTTCCTTCAAAGGGTTCCCTTTTCGTTTTACGGATTTGGGGACCAATGTAGTTCCGGAACCAGAGATGGCATTCTTAGCATGCATCAGAAGTTCTTTGAACACAGAGTTCTTGGGAATAAGCTAAGCAATTCAGTGTTAGGAAAACTGGGGTTTTCAAACAACATTGAAAGTCCTGTTGGCTGTTAAGCTTGGCCTATTGTTTTAGATTAGGGAATAATATAAAAATACCATTTCCCCATTCCTGCCATCAATTTAGTTTTGAGTAACTGATGCTCTTATATACCAAAATATTAAGAAAAAACTATTGTGGGCCATTTTCACAGTGTAGGTCACAATGAGATCATTGGCGTGTGTCAAGTTGGCAACGAGGCTGAGAGGCTGGGCAGAGACCACTGGAGTGAAATGCTGTCATATCCTCGGAAGCCCATTGCACATTGGCATTCCCTGGTGGAGGTAAGATCTAACCCTGCATGCTCCACTTTGCAAAAGAGTAAGTACTTTACTGTCAAAAATGCAAGAACTGACCAATCCTAAGAGCACCAGGATCTAGTCATAGATGGGTTTCCCTGGTTGCAATTCCTGGGGTCATTGGGACTTGCATTCAATGCAAGTTTCAGTCTGTGCCCCCATCAATCGAGTAGGTTTTGAAAATTGATCAGGAGTCATTCCTTACTTTGATTGTCTTTGTAAAAGATTAAGATTCTCTGATTCACATTATGGTTTTGGGTGCCACCTTGATCTTTTGGAGGGCCTGTGCAGGATCTGGATGAGTGCACAGTCTTAGTCCATCATAGGTTGTCTTGAACCTGACTTCTYGAAGAACTTGAATGGGAGAGTGGAGGCCTGGATTTTAGAACTGTTGTTTTGGGTAAATCAGTTAGAATCAGGTTCAACAGCATGTAATAAAAACAACAAACCACAAGTCAACAACAGGTGAAATGGAAATGCCTTTCTTTCTTGTATATAAAAGATGTAGAGGAAGGCAAGGTAGGGTATTATAGTGGCTCCATGATCAACAGACACCTGGACTTTGTCATTCTGCTTTATGATCCCATTGTAGTTTTGTACCTAGAATTCACCCTGTTGAGTAATATGGCTGCTAAGCTCCAACTATCTATCACACATCTTCTAGGCTATAAAAAGGTTCAAGAGTCAAGAGAACACACATTCCTTCTTTAAGGATTCTCTTTGAGATCTCATGCATCACTGCTACTTATGCTTAAATTAGTCACAGAACTTTGGATGTTTCTAGTTGCAAGGAAGTTAGAAATATATTCTTTTTGCTCAACTGTGGCAACATGCTCAACTACAAAACAAGGCTATGTTTGCAGAGAAGAGGAGGGTAGGATACTGAAGGCGACTGGCCATCATTCTGCCACTCTCGCCTCATTGACTACTCCCTCCCCCCATCTCTTCTCATTCATTCTTATCCTATTCGTCTTTGCTTATTGATGCATTCATTTGCTAACTGGTTCCCTCAAAAATAATTCACATTCACTTAGTAACATTTCTAAAGGTCAAATGCCATGCATGTAGGTACAGAAAATACAGATGTAAATAAGAAGTCATCTATTATAGAACTTATAGATAATAAGAGAAGAAGATGGTGCATGATTATTAACATGTACATCATAAGCATTATCATCCATATAAAGTGCTACAAGAGCACAAATGAGAGAGTTGTTTGTTGTACTTAGAGKAGAGTGTTCATAAAGCCTTTCTTCTTTCTGCTCTCAGTAAGTGAAGAGGACAGAACCCCTGGGAATAGGATCACCAGGAAGTGGGCAGGAGCTATTTATGTGGGTGCAAGGGTTCCAGATAGAGAACTATGCTTTCCCAGTGCAGGCAGCTGTTCTCTACCTAATCATCCTGAGAGACCAAGACCAGAGCCTCACACTGTGTGGGCTCCATTGCCTTTGACAGTCATGTGAGTCTAGCTGGAGTAATCATGCAGGGTAGTGGTGAAGAGGTAAGAGGCTCCCAACTCAGGTCTTCGGACAAAAGGACACTTCCTTAGTTGAAATGGTCAGGAGGGAAACTCCAAGCATCAGGGCCTCTGGGTGAATTCAAGGAGAGCCTAGGTCCCCCTAATTTGCAGGTCCCTTAAGACATCACTGCCCTTGGGCCATAGAAGCCAAGATTCTCTCTTTCCTGGACTCAAAATTAATCCCTCAGGGAGACCCAAAGGACCTAAAATCTCTTGAAAAGTAGCTGGGGGGGCTGACCCTGACTGAACCATATATCACTTCTTCCTCTCCTGGTGGAATTCTCAAAGGAGTCTATCTGTGGCTCATTAAATTGTCCAGGCCTGCCACTAGCAGTGGCAGACCAGTTGTCATAGACTTCCTGCATCCTTAGATGGCATTTTGACTTTAATTCTRCTTTGTTACCAGGAATGCCAAAGCTCTGTGACAGGAAATGGAAAAGAGTAAGGAAGAGGGTGATGAAGGGCTGAGGGAAATGAGCTCTGATTCTTTCACAGGCAGTTTCTCTCTCTCTCTCTCTCTCTCTCTCTCTCTCTCTCTCTCTCTCTCTCTCTGACCTTGACAGGGGAGTAACCCTGGTGTGTATGGGGAGTGGTTTACACACCCAGCCCTAAATAGCAGTAGGTGTTATGCAAAGAGGGTGGTGGAAAGCAGGCCTTGGAGGCCTCCCTGTTGAGGAAGAAGTGCTGTAAGACTTGGTCACCTGGGAGATATCCCTTAAACTCTGAATGCTTAGCTTCTTTGCAAGTCCCTGTTATGTAAGTGAGAAAGAAATGTCTTTAGGGTTAAAACCACTAAAACTCRGGAGTTATCTGTAGAACAGCTGGAATTCCTTCAACTAATACAATGGCCATTTCTCAACTGTTGCAACAGAACTAAGGAAATGGAATGCCCCCCCCCCATATGAAGGGCAAACCAAGGGAGGCTGCTTCTTCCCTGTTGCTTCCTGTCTCTTTGAAGTATGCCTTGGACTCCAGATCCATCCCGAGAGGGGAAGTGATGCTTTCCCTTTTAAAAATAAACATGTCACTGGCAGAATTAGGGCAATGGTACCAGATGAGATCAAAAGCAGTCCTGGGAAGTGGTCCATGCTCTGTAGGCCTCCACTCTTAACAGGGCTGTAGAAAGAGGCTTGGAAACACACACACTGGAGTMGGATGGACCTAGATTCACATTGCTGTGCTGCCACCTGGGTGTTGTATGTTTTCTCATCTCAGTGGCCATAACAGAACCTGTCTCCTAAGGGTGGTTGTGAGAATTAGACAATCTAATCTATGTGAGAGGCAGCACTGTGGCTGGCTTATGGCAAATGCTCAGTAGGGTGCTCACTTAAAATCATTATACATGCCCCACATTCTGACTGGGTGCTGTGTGTCCTCATGGGACTGTATCACACAAGGGAAAGTCATCCATAGCATTTGCCATGGAGAACAGGAGAAAGGCCTGCACTCCATTGAGCTGTCATCTCAGATTGGGGTGGGAGGGGAGCTGACTCAGGACTTGGCTGGACATAGATGCCCAGATTTAAGTTCTATCCCTTTTCCTATTTTCCTTGGCTATAAAGATAGGTTGTTATTTTACTCTCTTAAATTTCTGCTTTAAAAAAGAAACAGTGCTAAATCCCAGTCTTCTTGATAAGTGTGTGCGTTTGTGTGTACACATAAGTGTACATATGTGAAAGGTGGGGGAGCAGGTTAGCACTGAACCCTGAACCCTGCAGAGATCTGGCAGCCTGMTTGGGCTGCATCCAACACACCCTGACCTTGCCAGGGCAGGTGGCAGATGGAGTCTTCAAAGCCAGTGAGTTCAAAAAWCCTTTTCTGTCTCAGGGATTCTGGATGGCTCCACTGCATACTCAAAGGTCAGCCAACACTGCTGCCTTTACTCTCCATGATGTCAAAAGGCTGGGGAGCTGTGTAAATTCCTCCCGAGCAGGCCACTGGGCACTCAGGGATAGGAAAGTCCCCTCCATTGAGGGACAAAGGAGATGACAGAGCACTAGGGGCCATTACCACAGCTCCTGCCTCTATATAGCCGTAACAAGATGGTATTGGCCTGGCCATGTGATAGAACCTTTCCTATCCTCCTGAATGTCAAGCTGAATTACGTCATGAACTTTGGGAAGAACAATAGGAAAGGGTTACAGGTTTCCTTGCTTCCTGTGTAGTTCTGGGTAATTTCTGTACTCTTGAGGAGTAGGCTTGGTTTGATGGGAATACCAGACACAGACACCATTTGGTTAAAGCAAATTTTAGTTTTCTGAGAGAATGAAGAAAAGGGTGTCAAATCATATATAGTAAAGATCAACCCCATTATTCTAATTGACAGAGGTACAAGATTCTAACTCCGAAGGTCCTATTTAAGGGGTGCTTAAGTGTAGATCAGTCTTCCTCTCTTTAAGCCCAGCCTTTGTACATATATGTGTATCAGGCTACAATGATTCTGGACTAGTCTGGCTGTCTGACCTCCTGACTGAGTCTGCTGCCCATCTGTACTCAGGGTTATTTGATTTCTACACAACTATCTGCAATTATGGTACCATATACTCTGAAATGAATAAAGTCCTCATTTATTACCCTCAGTATCATTAACCCATTAAGTTCCAAGTTTTCAATTCTGTGAACATAGTAATTATTATTTTTTCTTCTTTTTCTGGTACCAGAGATTGAACCCACGGATGCTCTACCATTGAGCCACATTTTTTATTCTGAGACAGGGTCTCTCTAAGTTGCTGAGAGCCTCTCTGCTGAGGATGGTCTTGAACTTGCAATCCTCCTGCCTCAGCCTCCTGAGTGTTCTCCACCATGCCTGGCTAGTAATTATTTCAAAGTTCTTATAAATGGTATATTTGTTGCTCAATTAAGTTTTTAATAGGTGTTCTACATCTGGGACAATGAGACAAAATAGGTTAATATGTGAAAATAGAGTTTTAGGCTTAAAGCAAATGTCAATTACCCAGACTTGTCTTGAAGTTATACTAGCAGCCCCTTTCAACCATCTCTAGATATTATCTATTGAGTTCTCAGCAGAGCCTACCTGAAGTCTTCAAGGTTCCCAGGAGAAAGCATCTGATTRCCTAGGTTGGATCATAGAGATATGACCTGGTACCCATTCCAACAGAAGTTTGGAGAGTAGGCTTCTTGAGAAGAGTCCAGGAAGAACAAGGGAAGTTGACTACAGTAAACACGACTGCTCCCAAACAAATTTGAAGTGAGATAGTGAAAGACTTAAGCCTTTGGGCAAGTTATTAATTCACAACAGATTTAGGAAATAAGATCACTTCTTCAGGAAGGATGTGGGTAGAAAGGACAAGAGCTGTGGGAACCTTGGCCTGTACAGATACATGGTATTTTCTACCTGTTCCTCTAGCCCATGTTGGCCCAGGGCCACATTTGCCTTCAGCTTCCCCTTCAGTCTATCTGACTTTGGGGTTTCAGGCCTGAGCTGAAGCCAGAATCTCTCCTCCTCATCTYTATCTCTTCTTCAAAGGCTTTCTACTTCATTT